TGAGTTGTCAAGCACTGTCAGGTATAGTATCAGAGGTCTCCCTTCAACCGGTGGCCTAAGGATGGGTGGTTCTTGGAGATACTCTTTGATTCTGTCGAAAGCAGCCTGACATTCATCGTTCCAACGTACCACCTGATCTTTCTTCAGCAGCTTGAAGATTGGCTCACAGGTAGCAGTCAGATGTGAGATGAAGCGAGCAATGTAATTCAGGCGTCCTAAAAAGCCTCTGACTTCCTTCTCTGTCTTAGGAACTGGCATCTCTTGAATAGCTTTGACCTTAGCCGGGTCCACTTGAATACCTTTATCACTGACCACGAAGCCTAGCTATTTCCCAGATCTTACCCCGAAGGTGCACTTGTTCGGGTTCAATCTTAGCTTGTACAGTTTCAACCGGTCAAACAACTTCTGCAAATGATCTAGGTGTTCTTCCTCAGTTTGGGACCTTGCGATCATGTCGTCAACATACACCTCTATCTCGTGATGGATCATATCATGAAATAAGGCAACCATGGCACGTTGGTAGGTTGCCCCAGCGTTCTTCAACCCGAATGGCATGACCATGTAACAGAAGGTGCCCCACTGAGTAACAAATGTAGTCTTTTCCATGTCTTCAGGTGCCATCTTGATCTGATTGTAACCTGAGAAACCATCCATGAAAGAGAACACCTTGTGCTGAGCTGTATTATCAACAAGGACATCAATGTGAGGTAAGGGGAAGTCATCCTTGGGGCTGGCCCTGTTCAGATCCCTGTAATCGACACACATTCTGACCTTACCGTCCTTCTTCGGTACCGGCACCACGTTAGCAACCCACTGAGGGTAAGAAGTCACTGCAAGGAACCCAGCATCAAACTGTTTCATAACCTCGGCCTTAATCTTCTCAGACATCTCTGGACGCATCCGACGGACCTTTTGCTTAACTGGAGGGCAGTCTTCCTTAGTCGGCAAGTGATGGACCACAATGTCGGTATCCAACCCTGGCATGTCTTCGTAGGACCAGGCAAAGATCTCCATATAATCATGCAGCATCTTGGTTAACCGTTGCTTCACGCTGAGCTCTAGGTTGGCACCAATCTTTACCTCTTTCCTGTCTGCCTCGGTACCCAAGTTTATTGTTTCCACTGGCTCTTCATGGGGTTGAATTGCCCTCTCTTCCTGAAGCAACAGTCTTGCAAGCTTGCCAGGCACTTCGCAATCATCTTCACCTTCGTCTTCGGCTAAGTTGATCGGATTTTCGAAGTCATAATTGGCAGTAGCAGAGTTGTTATCAGTAAGATCCAGAGTGGATTGAAACCTGTATGAGTGAGTGTGTGTGTAAATACAGCTGTTTTGAAAATTATGTAAAGGAAAAGAAAGACAGAAAAGGAGCACAATATTTGCAATGCGAAAAACGTCTAAGATTTTTATTCATGATATATGAAATGACAGTTTGTATGCCCTCACAAATAGAACCACGGTGCCTCGGGTAAGACACCGGGCCATAGAGTTTATCATTGTTTATTACAAAATAACAAAACATAGGAATTCATTACTTAGTAACAAGAGAAACAGACAAGTTGTCCTTTGCACTCCAATTGTTGAGTCCACTGTCGGTTGCCGGGTAGATCCAGCTATCAAACTCAGCTTCATCAACTTCCTCTTCGTCCCCAATAGCATTTACTCCATGAGCAGGTAGGGGAGCTGTCACCACATTAGGCTTGTCAGATGCCTCAAACTGTACCTCCTTGGCGTCAATAAGATCTTGCAGCTTGTTCTTTAACGCCCAACAGTCATCAGTAGAGTGCCCCGGGCTATCTGAATGGTAAGCACAACGAGCATTCGGATTGTACTTGGGAGATGTAGTGTTGGGGAACTTCGGGGCCTCCCTGACAGTCACTAAGTTAGTGGATAGCAACTGTGGCAGGATCTGTGATAGGGTCATGCTTAACCGGGTAAACTCTCGCCGGGGTCTTTCAGCCCTTTGAGGATTGTTTGGCCGAGGAGCGGCAGCAGGCTTAGCAATCATCACCGCGCTGACAGATTGGCGGTGCTCAGGTCTCTCTGATTTCCTAGAACCATACACGGCACTAGACTCCTTCTTGAATGGTTTCTTTTCCGAACTAGACGATGCACCCTTCGCAATCTTCCCAGACTTCAGCCCAGCTTCAATTCTCTCTCCAGTCAGAATCAAATCAGTGAACCCAGCAGAAGAATTCCCAATGAGATGGTTGAAAAATGGCCCAGATAGGGTCCCCAAGAACATGTCTACCAACTCCCGATCAGTCAATGGTGGCTGCACCCTGCCAGCCAGATCTCTCCACTTTTGAGCGTACTCCTTAAAACCTTCGCTTACACCTAACGACATACCCTGGAGTTGGGTACGCGTGGGGGCAAGGTCGGCATTATATTGATACTGCTTGTAGAAAGCAGTATCCAACTCCTCCCAGTTACGAACCTTGGTCCCATCCAGCTGATAGAACCATTCGAGATGAGTCCCTGAAAGACTCTCCTGGAAGAAGTGGATCCATAAATTCTTATCCGCAGAGTACGGCTGAATTTTCCGAACATAAGACCTCAGATGCAGCTTGGGACAAGACGCCCCGTCATATTTGGAGAAGGATGGTGCTTTGAACTTGTGGGGGATGATCACACCAGTTGACAAACCCAGATCTCCGAAATCCAGCCCTGGTACCTGTTGAACCTCCATAGCCTTCAATCTGTCCTCCAATTGCTTATATCTGTTGTCTGCAGGAGGGTACTGCTCTTCGTCAAAATCTGTCTCGTTGTCGGAGACTACCGGACTAGGAACCTTTACTTCTGCCTGAGAAGGACTCTTGCCAACAGAAGAACCAGCCTCTTCATGCTGCAGAGTATTGCCAAACCTTCGGCCCGAGTTGAACAGAACAGTTCTTCTCTTCTTCTTCTTCTCCTTCTTCAGGAGCATAGTCTTTAATTCTTCTTGGCCTTTAGCCAGACCCTTGATTAGTTCTTGAAACTGCGCATTCTGCGCCTGAAGAGCCTTGATTGATGTCTCAGTTGATGCAGATTCGGGATTCATGATGCTGAAATAAACAGCGAAGAACTGTAAGCAACCTGAAAAGTGGAAAAACCTGCTATGCACATGATGTATGAAATGCGTATGCAATGCATTCAAGGGTTCGAAAATTCAACTTTGTTGTAGACAAAAAGGAACACACGTTATCATTAAAGAAATCATTGTTTAATACATCAAAGCCTCATGGGCAAAAGTACAAAAATCAAATCAATCCCAAAATACACTGCGCATCCTCTTCGGAGCTATGTAAGTGTTGAGATTCCTCTCTGTTGTACCCCAATTTTTGACCTAAGATCCCGCATTCCATCCGCATCATTACATAGCAAGTGTTCACAGGCGATTCGACCTATTTTTGCCAATTCCCGAGTCAGATTTCAAAAATTCATAACTTCTTCAAGTTTCAATATTTTGAGGGGTTATTTTTTTGCATATGATTTTTCTTGACACCATCTACAATTTTTCTTTACAAGACAAGAGATGATTATGCATTGAAAAGCCACGAAAAAGTTATTAACGTTCGAAGTTGTTTCACGAATTTAATGGAATTTGATTCTTAATTTTGGACTATGTTTTATCCGACCATAAATTTTACACTTTCTCTTCTCTTATTTTTAATTCCATGAAAAATCATAAAAAAAATATATTTAGTTCATGTCATCTTAATTTTATTTACATTATTATTCAAAATATCAAAAAAAGTAGTCTCTTCAAGTTTCATTTAGATTTTTATTCTTAAGTCAAAATTATATTCTTCTAGATTTAATTTAGTAAAAATCTCAACAAAAAAAAATGTCTTAGCATTATTTTATTTTAGCATTTCACTTTAATCACAAAAAATATATAGTTAATATCTTTTCCTTTTAATTCTTTTAGTTATTATAATTTTCATTCTTTCAATATTAATCTTGATTTGGTTCTAATTTTAATTCAACTTTTTAGTTGAGTTATTATTAAAATTAAAATTAATTTTAATTTCTCTTTAATTTTCATGTTTTGGAAATTTTTAGTTTAATAATTTTTATTTTTTATTTTATGTTATTATTATTGTTATTATTATGTTATTCCTCTCCTTGTAAAAATGTCCAAACAATAAAATTAGTCCAAAACCATGCTATTGTCCCTATCCTAACTGTCCATAAAACCCAAACATGCTACACAACAAAACTTGCTGCTACTTCACTCCAAAACCTGCATAAAAACCAGTCTGCAAACAACTTTTTTACTACCTTTGCTGTCCAAAAAGCTTGCCCAAAATGAAATCACAAATCCCTGCATCAAGAAAGCACAAGGAAGTTGACATAAACCAGAATTCAACTGATATTTGGCTCCAATTTTCCCTCCAATTCTATCATACACTCACAATAAAAACAAAAGCAAATGGTGAAGAATAGTGAGGGGGGTTATCACCTAATTCCTGCAATAGTAGTAAAAAAAAACAACTTACAGTAGCTAGCTCACTTCCATCTCTCTATTCCTCTGTCTTCATACTTCCTTCCTCTCATCCCGTTCCAACGCGCAACACCACCTGCCAGTTATCGTATCCACCATTTCCATCCAACCTTCACCCTCCTTTGCCTAATTTCAACTCCCTTCGCCAAATTCCCTTCAAATTCATGGCCATAAGCTTCTGAGCACAGTCCATTCATTCACCATTATTATCCAACATCAAAACCTGGGAAGGGAAATTCTACAGCACAATATCAAATCTACACCCTTTATCTTAAAACAACACCATCCTCATGTTTACACACCAACTTCATAAACGCAAGTTGGTAAGAGATCCAAACACAGAATCGAAAGAAAAAGTAAAAGAAAAGAGGAAGTTTCAAAACGGATTCTTCACTAGTCCAAGACAGTAGCTGCACCGCATGGAGTTGTACACGAAACTCCCAATTTCTTCCAACTCCTCACAACTATCCCTTTCGTTTCTCTTCTCCCTAACTTCAAAAACTTTCAATTTGTCACCTTAAATCCTTTCTTCGATTATGAAATCCTGCATAACAAATACATAAAACAATGTCAACAACACAAAAAAAATTCATTCAAAACCAAATCCACCACACCAACAACAACTCCACGTGAAAAACACAAAACCTGTTCACAAAGGGAAACACAAACACAAGTCAAAATCAACAGCCACAATAACATCATAACATCTTCCTCAGCCGCCCTAGTACCTCAGAGTCAGAACCCTTCAGTTAATGGCACAACCACAAACTCTACTGGTGTAGAACTAGATCTTGATCAATCCTCCTACAAGAAACCGTTATCACAAGTGGTGGTCAAGTACAGAGAATGCTTGAAAAACCATGCAGCTGCAATGGGAGGAAATGCTACAGATGGTTGTGTTGAGTTCATGCCAAGTGGTGAACAAGGTTCCATAGAAGCACTCAACTGTTCGGCTTGCCGTTGTCACAGAAACTTCCATAGAAAGGAAATTGAAGGTGAAATTGATGAAGAAAACTACCCACATCACCATAACACACCTTTCACCTTCAACTTCAACAGATCCAACAACATCAGTTGCTGTAGCACTTGTAACTCAACCACCATCTTTATCGTGAACGGACCAACATCACCATTTCCGAATGTTCCTATAAACACCAACGAACCACCTTCATTCAACCTCCATACTACTACCCACAAACCGCACACTCTCTCTATTCCGCCAATTTCCCCCATCTGTTCAACCTGTTAACCTCTCTTCATCAACCTTTCTCCATCTGTTCAAAAACCGTGCAACATCATTACCATCAACAACTTCTGCAACACAAACAATCTTCATCCGATTCACCTCACAACAACAAACCAGTTGCTATCGTTCCGTTCTGTCTTCCGGCTTCCGCTTGCCAACCTCCTCACCATCAAACAACCGCCATCGCTAACTCCCTTCCGCCACCGCCAGTTTTGCTTCATACTACTCAGCACCCAACAACAGATCGGAAACAAAAACAATAAAGCAATCAAGGTAGGGAAGAAATAGGGTCGTGATGTTATGCCGCCGGCCGGATCGAATCCAATATTTCTGACCCTCACCAACATTGATCGTGAATCCAATAAAGAGGAAGGCAAATGGGTCTGGATCTGGGAGAAAGAGAGATACTTGCTTTCACAAAGAAGAAGAAATAAAGACATTGTTTCTCTAATAATGTATAATAAGGTATGCTTTTATGTTCTTATTTTAATTCGATGCCATGTGTTATCCACTGATTGATTCCCTTTGAAATTGGAAAGAAGTTTTTAAAATGAGACATAGTATCATTCAAGAGGTGCGGCGTCTCTCTGTTCCTCTTTCACAATAGATATTCATTTTTTTAATTAATTTAGTTAATATTTATAGTTAGGGTTTTAGTCATTTAGATCTTGGGCCCTAGGCTTTAAAATTGATCATTTTACTTTTATAACCGTTCTGTTTCTATTTATCATCTTTAATTTTTGCCAGTTATTTGTTTTAACTTATTTAGTTTTTTTTTAAATTAACTAGATTTGATTAATCATTTAATTTTATTTAAATACAAAAATATAAAAAAATATTAGTAAATCTTATATTTAGATTTAGTTTAGTATTAGTTTAGAATTTTTAATTTGTTTAGATCTATTTTATAACTTTAGAACTTCCAATTAGTTTAAATATATTTTGATAACTTTAGAATTTTAATTTAGTCTTAGAATTTTAATCTTTAGTTTAGAATTAATTTAGTTTAGTATTAATTTAGATTTATTTTATAACTTTTTAGCTTTAGTTTAGTAAACTTTAGAATTTTATGTGTTGTAGTATCATTTTAGTAATTTTAGGATGTTATTTCATTTAGATTTGACTTAATAAATTTTAGAGTTTTATTTTTTTTTTTTTTTTTTTTTTTTTTTTTTTTAGTTTTGACTTAGTAAACTTTAGAATTTTATTTTGTTTTAGTTTTATTTTAGTAACTTTAGGATTTTATTTCATTTAGATTTGACTTAGTAAATTTTAGAGTTTCATTTGTTTTAGTTTTTGACTTAGTAAACAACTTTATTTTGTTTTAGTTTTATTTTAGTAACTTTAGGATTTTGTTTCATTTAGATTTGACTTAGTAAATTTTAGAATTTTATTTGTTTTAGTTTTAATTTAGCAAATTTTAGAATTTTATTTGATTTTATTTAAGTTAACTTTAGAATTTTAGTTGTTAGTTTTAGTTTAGGGACTTTAGAACTTTATTTGATTTAGAATTAGTTTAATAAGTTTAGAATTTTAGTTGTTTAGAATTAGTAAAATATTCTTTTAGAATTTTATTTGATTTAGATTTAGTTTAGTAACTTTGGAACTTTTTTAGCAACTTTAGAATTAATTTAGTTTAGACCTAATTCAGTAATATTAGAGTGTTAATTTATTTTAGATTTAATTGAATAAATTTCGAATTTTAGTTAGTAACTTTAAAATTTTAATTTAGTTTTAGTTAATAACTTCAAATTTTACTTAATTTAATTAGACACTTTAGAATTTAGGTTTAGTTTACTTAGTAACCTTAGAATTTCAAATTAGTTTAGATAATTTTTTTTTATTACACTTTTCTTTTATTCATGATTCTTCTTTATCCATTCATTTAGTTTCTTACAATTATCTTGTTATCTACCTTGTTCGTTTCTCGTGGATTTTAATTATTTATGATTTCTTCTTGAATAGTAGATCTATCTGCTTATGATTAATCCAAGGGAAATGATTCAACTCAGTTGACTTCACGTCATCAAATACATCTCATCCGATCGTGCGAATACTTTTTTTTCATTTCTTTTGTTTGTTTACTATTTTGCTAAACTCAAGATAATTTTCCTAAAAGATTCAAATTTCAAACTCACACCTTTTTAAGTCAAAACTTCGACACTAGGTCGTCGTATCTTCAAAATCTCTCCAACACCGATTTTTAGCCAAACGAACCATTTTAATCAAACAAACAATTTTTAACCAAAAAACAGATATTTCAAAAGGTTCCTGCGGAGTACCGCAGATGCATTGGGTGCTAATACCTTCCCATTGTATAACCATCCCCCGAACTCTCGATCTCTTTCAAAAACGCATTGTATTTTTTATTACTTTTAAGTATTATTTTACATTGCATATTTTAGGGTTTTATTTCGCTCTTTTCCCTTTTCCCTTGGAAATAATAAAGCGCGGTGGCGACTCTTGCTTTTGTGAGTCAAGTTAATTAATAGCTTGATCTCCGATTTTCACCGCTACAGAATTGGCGACTCTGCTGGGGAAAGATTGACCTCTTGCTGGTCCATCCCTAAGTGGGTTAAGCCTAATTTGTTTTATCTGTTTTATCATTATTTGATTGTTTGATTATATGTATATATTATGATTATTTGGGTGTTGATAATATTTACAAAGGACAAGTCCTATACCCGGACTAAGTCACACTTAGGAATAGGACGGGCGGTATAGTCATGTTAACTTTGAGGGAGTAATCCCGAAGAAGGAGGCATGAGATCCCCCACTCAGTGGAAGGCCCTTTTGAACGTAATATTTGTTTACCGAGTAATCGGGAAGACATTATTATTTTCGACCTGGGAGCCAGAGAAGCTGGGAACCGTAAAACCATAACCCATTTTGGCCTTTTAGGTGTAGCGCGGAGATTATAACGGAGTAATCCGGAAGTAGTTGTCACGCGATGCTACGCTCGGATGAGTTTCTCTTGAGAATATTGCTGATTATTGAGTAATCAAGACGTTGGTAATATCCGAAGGAGGAATGTAGACTCCGGGAACTCTTAGAACCTTGTTCTACAGGTGTGATTAAACCGTTAGTACATACCTTGGGGGTGTTCCTTACCGTGACTCCATGCTCGTGACGTTGAACCTTTCGACTTTATCTGTGACCTTGCTTGTGGTTGTTGCATAGCCACGCATTCATGCATCGATAAAACCATTTTCACTTGACTTTGAAGGAATTTGGAGGTCTTTCTTTGTAAACATCACAAGTTTCGTCAAGCTCAATGGATCTTGGGTGTTGATAGGGCGAAAGCCCTAATCCACCAAAATGGATGATTGATCTTGATGATAACTTGATCAATGTTTGGAGCCAGTTTAAAATTCATCTTCTATCTTCATACTTTGATGTTTACAACTTAATATCTTGAGTTCCTTGAAAATCAAATAAAAACTCTCTTTTGCACATCATATATCATTCTACATTTTTTGTTTCAAAGGTCTTTTCCCGAGTCTTATTTTTCCTTTGGTCTCACCAGTACAACACTCGCGCTAAGAAAACAATGGAGAATATCAAGCAAGAGGTTTCTGAACTCCGTATGACTAATTTGAAAGCTAGTGTGGAGCACCTAACTGGTTTGGTTGAAATTCTGGTTGTCGCCCAAGTCAATCCTTCTAAGAAGGAGGAAGCGATGATAAAAGTCTTCACTGAAACTCTAAAATCCTTCTCTCATGAGAAGGTGATGGTTAATGCACCTAATGACTTTCCTGACAAGGTGAATGTGGGAGTGCGTTTAGAAGAAGATGTTGGGAAGGGATGTTCATATGAAGATGGTAGCTCAGCTAATGGTGTGAAGGAGTTTGATAATAAATTTTCCAAGAAGAGAATCATAGGAAGAAACAATCATCGTCAGAATCATCATGTTTCTCCTATTCATCAACAGAATCAACAAGTTCCTAATCAAAGGAAAACCCAATTTGATCCAATTCCAATTACCTATACAGAGTTGTTCCCTATCCTGATGCAGAGGAATTTGGTTCAGACCCGACCTCCACCGAAGGTTCCTGAGAAGATACATTGGTACTACAAAGCTGATTTGGCTTGTACCTTTCATCAAGGTGCTCCTGGGCATGACTTGGAGGGTTGCTTTGCTTTGAAGATTGAGGTTCAGAAGTTGGTCAGAAGTGGTATCTTGTCATTCAAGGACGTTGGTTTTGAAGTTCAAATCAAGCACGTGCCGAAGAGTAAACACGATTGATGGTCACGTTGAGTTTTGAAGGATGTTTTCGGTGATTCAAGTCCAGATGGAAAGCCTTCCCCGATCATTAACTTATTTCTTCTTGTTGCAATTTTTCTTGTTTATCAAAATATTGTTTGCATGTAAGAACTTGTTTGCATCTGTATGATTATCTTAATACAATGGGTATGTTTGTCTTGAAGAAATTCATTCGTTTCACTCATATTTGTTTTCAAATTTTAAATTTCTTTTGGCATTATGATAGCAACTTGTTGCTCATTCTCTTGCCTAGGCAGAGATTGAAGGGAGGATGATGATCTAAAGAACACAAAATCTCTGGTTGCATGCTTTTGGATAAAATCTTGCTGATGATGTACAGGCATTGTTTCGAATCCCTAAACATTGGAGATATAAGGAAGATAATCCCTTGCTAACCCCTTTTGAGCCTTGAAGTAGAAGTTT